ACTGTATGGAGTACTTTCCATTTCATCCTCATTTTATTTCATATCTTATTTCATCCTCACAACAATAGCAGAAGGCATATACTATTATAAGATCCATTTTATAGATAAGGAAACTGAGGCTCAGAATGGTTAAGTCACTTGCCAAAGATCACACAGAGCCAACATTTCTGTCCATGACAGTAAATCTCCGTTTGGCCACCACTCACAGTGCTTAATAACAACAATTCTGTTTGCCTGGTGTTTTGTATTATCTTGTTGAACTTCTCCAAATCCCCGGGAGTAGTAGGTATATGCTCATAAGGAGACGGAGGCTCAGAGAGGTTAAGTATCCTGTCTAATGTTACACAGCTGGCAACTGAGGGAGGAGGGTTTGAACCCAGCTCAGTGGAACCCCACATCTAGCATCCTTTTCACCACCTGTGCCCTCTTGCCTCCTCTCTGCAGGAGGTCAATGCACTCCGCTGTCAACTTGGGGACCGACTGAATGTGGAGGTAGATGCCGCTCCACCAGTGGATCTCAACAAGATCCTGGATGACATGAGATGCCAGTATGAGACCCTGGTGGAGAATAACCGCAGAGATGTGGAGGCCTGGTTCAACACCCAGGTGGGGCTAGGGCACCAGGACCACAAGCTCCTAGGGGTGGGTGCTACCCTGAAGTGTGGCTTTGCTTGGTCTGACCATGCTCTGCTCCCTATCATGTGTTTCAGACTGAGGAGCTGAACCAGCAGGTGGTGTCCAGCTCAGAGCAGCTGCAGTGCTGCCAGACGGAGATCATCGAGCTGAGACGCACGGTCAACGCCCTGGAGATTGAGCTGCAGGCCCAACATAGCATGGTGGGTGGTCTCTGCCTCAGTGACTGCCAGCCTCAGCCAGCCTCAGCACGGGGCTTTCATGGGGCTGGTGCTATCACAAACCACATATGCAGACATCCAGGACTGTGGGTTTCTGGGATCCCATTGGCAGCTCTCCTTCCCACTGCAGCGGAATTCCCTGGAATCCACCCTGGCTGAGACCGAGGCCCACTACAGCTCCCAGCTGGCCCAGATGCTGTGCCTGATCACCAATGTGGAGGCCCAGCTGGCTGAGATCCGCTGTGACCTGGAGCAGAAGAACCACGAATACCAGGTCCTTCTGGATGTCAAGGCTAGGCTGGAGTCGGAGATCGCCACCTACCGCCGCCTGCTGGAGGGAGAAGACTGCAAGTGAGTGGCCCATGGGCACTGGGGAGCCAGGCTTGGGTGAAGGGCTCACCTGAACTCAACCTCAATGCCATAGCAAGGGCGTCAATCCCTGAAGTCAATCCCTATGCAGTACTGCACAGGTGAAGGGGGCTGGATCAAAGTCCTCTTGAGGGTCCTTCTAGTCTGGGGTTTGGTAATTCTCAGGGGGTTAAGCCAACCCACACACAGCCGTCCTCCAACAGTCATCTAGTCTTCATTCCTGTAGCCCTAGCCTCCACCCTTGGGGATTTTAGAGGTCACCAAGAGTCAAAACTGACTCAGTGGCAGCGGGTATCTGAGGCCATTCTTTGTCATTACCCATCTGTCCCCACTGACTCCCCAAATCTGTTTAACACAAATCTCAGTCCAATGCCTCGATGCCAAATACACCCTGAAATGATTCCATTTCCTCAGGCTTCCTGCCCACCCTTGTGCCACAGAATGCAAGCCTGCCATTAGAGCTCCTTACCTCCCAAGCAAGTCCTGCGCCACGAGCGTGCCCTGCACCCCAGCTCCTCAGTTCAGCACTCAAATCCGCACCATCACTGAGGAGATCTGCGATGGCAAACTCATTTCCTCCAGGGAGCAAATGCAGCCCCGCCCGTTGTAAGCAGCCCATTTGGCCCACCAGGGCAGGCCTGGACCACAGGAAGGAGGACACCCCTGTGGCTCTCGGCTGCTAAATGACCCCACCCTTTCCTAGAGGGGCCCCTGCTCAGCAAGTTTTCCTACCAAAATTCTTGTATTGTGTTTCTGGACTTAACTCTGCTTTTACTCCATGCAAAATATAACCACATTTTGCTGGAAATTTGCCCAATAAAGTGTGTTCTCTTGGCATAGCAAACTCAACACTGGCTAAGTCCATTTATTCTCATGTGGTGTGTTGGTGAGGTGTTCGATAAGGGGTCACCGTAACATTGTGGGTTTGGGTTTCAGGCCTGTCTTCTCTGGCTGTGAGTGGAAGGCCTTGGGGATGATCTAGAATATTGCATAGGTGGGGTGGCTCAAGCCTTGGTCCATGACAACGAACACTGACCCAATCCAGATGGGAGGTGGCCTTAACCAAGAAAGAGCCCAGGTGGTAGGCCAGTCCACATGGCTCTCACCTCTGCCCTTCCCAGGCCCTATCTCTGATCTGTACCCCTACTCTGGAGTCTGAGGCCTGCAGCTCACAGCTCTGGCCCAGCTGCCCAAGGCTGGGGAGATGAGAGGTGGGCAGTGGGCATGCGCAGAGCCACATCCCATCCCCATTTGGTGGAATGTGCATGGAGCAGCCAGAGGTGGGAGGAAGGTCTGTTGTGGACACAGCTCAAGCTGACATGCCACTATGTCAGAGCAGGCTGACCGACTGCACAGGGTGGTGACCTAACAACTAACGACCCTGTCAACTCCTTGCACTGTACGGTGCTTTCCCATTCTCTGAGCACTCTACAGTTTACAGAGTGCATTCACAGCCTTTTCTCATGTACACAAACAGCCCTGTGTGGTTATTCATGTATTTCCACCGAGCTGTCCATTGAATTGTCCAAAGGCATCTGTAGGAGCTAAGGAAGCTCCCCTACTTTCCACTCACCTACACCCTTCCAGTTTATTCCACTAACCGATGTGCAAGCTAGAATTCAACACTATGGAGTAGGCATTGGCTGGTCCAAAGTCCCACAGCAAGTGGCAGACTAAGGATGCCATCTCAGAACTTTTGACCCCTATTTCATTGTTCTTCCCATGACTTCAAGAGAGAGATTCTGTAAAACATTATATTTTATAAGATTTCCCCAGAGTGAACGTGATACTTTATTTCGAGGTTTGATCTTTTTTGTACTTTCTAGATACGTTATCTGGCTGTCTTTCTCAGTCACACACACTCACACATCAATTAACCAGTCAACAGGTATGTACTGAACACCACCTATATGGGAAACCCAGTGCTCATGCATGGACGCATCTAGGGAGAAGCAGGGGTGGGGAATAGATGGAGACAAATAGTCAATAATGGGCACAGTTTCCAAGGAGCTCATGTCCAGCTTGGAGAGAGCTGCATGCACACAGTATCAGAAACATCACCAGGAATAGCAGGAGCGGGTGTGGGGCAGGCTTGGGGGTTCTAAGAAGGGGGAGAGATCATTGAGAGTTGGAGTGACCAGGGAAGGCTTTAGGGGAGACTTGGATTTGATGGAAGCCTTGAAGGATGGGTCACCAGGTGTTATGGATTGAATTGTGTCCCCCTCAAAATATGTGTCAACTTGGCTAGGCCATGATTCCCAGTACTATGTGGTTGTCCACCATTTTGTGATCTGATGTGATTATCCTCTGTGTTGTAAATCCTTACCTCTGTGATGTTAATGAGGTAGGATTAGAGGCAGTTATGTTAATGAGGTAGGATTCAATCTACAGGATTAGGTTGTATCATGAGTCAATCTCTTTTGAGATATAAAAGAGAGAATGGAGCAGAAAGGACAAGCACCTCATTACCACCAAGCAAGAATAGCCAGGAGCAGAGCAAGTCCTTTGGATCTGGGGTCCTACCCTGAGAATCTCCTAGATCAGGGGAAGATTGATGACAAGCATCCTTCCCCAGAGCCGACAGAGAGAGAAAGCCTTCCCCTAGAGCTGGTGCCCTGACTTTGGGCTTCTAGCCTCCTAAACTGTGAGAGAATAAATTTCTCTTTGTTAAAGCCATCCACTTGGGTATTTCTGTTATAGCATCACTAGATAACCAAGACACCAGGTTTGGTGAAGCAGAGAAGGAGGGCAAAAGGCATTTTAGGGCATGGCCAAGTGTACTCACGGTATGTTCTGGGGGCAGCACGGACCCCATCGGAGCTGAGTGCAAATGTCCTGTAGGGAAAGTTTCTAGGATACCTGCTAACCAATGTCAATTCTTGCTAATGAGGGGCTTTAGGTAATTATTTCATTCTGTTAAAAAGAATGCTAAGAAAGAATGGAAATAGGCGAGGACAATTTAGAAGTTACTTTATACCTTTAAAAAGGCTTACAGGCTACATCATAGCTTTAAAAATATTACCTATATGTTGTGTAAAATTATCTTAAAAATCTTATCAAGAATATTCTAGCCACACCTTTGGCTCTGAATTGGCTTGTTGGCCTGCCTCCCTTTGGGCAGAATGGCTTTTGGCCCAGAGAACACTGTTCTCTGACAAAGGAGCTGGTTAATCTGGGCAGAGGCTGCTAATTAGGCATTGTTGTTGTTGTGTGCCATTGAATCAATTTTGACTCACAGTGACCCTACAGGACAGAGCAGAACGGCCTCACAGGGTTTCCTAGACTGTAAGCTTTACAGAAGGAGCTCTGGTGGCGCAATGGTTAAGCACGTGGCTGCTGACTGAAAGGACTGCCACATCTTTCTGAGGCGGAGCGGCTGGTGAGTTCCAACTGCCAACCTTTCAGTTAGCAGCCGATCACTTCACCACTGCGCCACCAGGGCTCCTAATAAGGCATTAATATACCTAATCCCTTTCTGTTCTCCCAGCCTCAGTTTCCTCATTTGTAAGAGTACAAACACTAAGACTGACTTTGTTAAGTGTCTTTCCCTCCCTTCTACTCGCCCTTCCTCTCAAAATCGTTTCTTTTCTTCCTCCCTGGCATCAGCACACTTTACCATGGGCAAAGCATTTATGCATTCATTCATTCATCTACTCATTCATTCATAACGGGCCTTCTAGAAGCCCAGCACTATGCTTAACACCATGGAGGTGTCAAAAGAAGCATGAGGCTAGTCCTTGCCCCAAAGAACTTAGTCTCCCTTGTGAAGATAGGGCCAAAACACAAATTAGTTGGAGAACAGCAGTTCACTGTGGGCCAACGAATCAGCCATGGTCACTGCTATGCGCATTCAGAGTTGGGACTGTGCAGTGGGGCTGGAGCAGTGGGGTGGGCTCCAGTGAGAAGACCTGGCTCAGGCTGGGCCCCCAGGGGCAGTGGGGTGGGCCCAAGATCTGGGGCTAAAAGGCTTGGTCTTTAGTCTCCGTGGGAAGACTGTGTGGACCTTGGGTAAGTCATTCACCATCTTGACCACAGGTCTTCTTGTGGGAGTCAACACCCTTCTATCCACGTGTTACATGGTGCGTGGTGGGCTTAAAAGAGATAGTGCTCCTTCAACAGTTGTACAAGTGCTAGTTCTGCCAACTCTACTCACAGCTCATGAGCTGTGGCACCTCGGGCAAGCTACTGAAACATTTTAAGCCTCAGTTTACTCATCTATTAAAGGGCGATATTGATAATGCCAATCTCATGTGGTTATTGTGAGGATTAAATGAGATAATACATGGAAAAGGCTCAGCCAGGGTCTGGGCAAGTACTAAGCGCTCAGTAAATGGTGGCTGGTACCATTTGCCTCCTTACTATTAGCACTATGTGGGGGAGAGCCTTCAAGGCTGAACAGCACTCAAACCCCCTTCCGGGCAGCACAAGTGTGGAACCCTCCCTGGGAAACCACGTGACCCCTGGGATTGTGCAAACAGGATGGGGCTTCCCAGACCTTTGCTGCTTTGGCTTCTCTGGGCCCTGTGGCACATGCCCAGGAGCTGTGGCTCAGCAGGGCTGGGGCAGAGCCCTGTACCCACATGGGTGGGAAATGCAGACACTCAGGGAGGCTCAGCTAGGCTCTCAGCTCAGCTGCAACCTTTGCACTGGGGCATGAATTTCGAGGGAGGAGAGGCTGAGGCAGCCAATGCAACCCTGGGATTGCACTGGGCAAGTACCGTGACACCAGGCCCCAGGGTATGGAAAGGGCATGGTGACTCATGGGAGCTCTATATCTGAGGGCCCCAAACACACACACCTGGCCTGTGGGCTGATGGCCTGTGTGCTCAGAGCCTGTCCACACTCTCCAGTGACAGCTCCTTAGCATCGTCAGTCTCAGTACAACAAGACTCCTCTTGTGTGGGGACTGGCAATCATAGCAGCTGCCACTAGTGAGCACTTATTACCGTAAGCAGGTGCTGTTCTAGATGCTTCAAACTCATTTACCCCCTATAGCAACCCTAGAAGTGGATACTATTATCCTCTTCTCATTTTACACAGGAGGATACAGAGAAGTTACATCACACAGTTGGTAAGTGGTGGGTGTGGGATTTGAACCCAGAGAGTTCACACTCATAACCACGAGACTGTGCTACTTCTCCTGGGACACTGGAGGGTATTGGTCATTGCCTGTGGAGCCCACTCAGATTCTCTCTGTTCTCCATAGAGCCTGATCATGTCCAGTAGCCTGGGATGGGATTCTGGTGCAGTGGAGGATGCAGGGTAGTGTAGTGGACAGGGCAATGCCAGATTTGGGTTGGCATCTTGGCTCTGCCACTCATGTGCTGGGGGCTCTCAGGCAAGCTTCTATCCTCTCTGAGTCTTGGTTTCCTTAGCTGCAGCCAAACCACCAAACCCACTACTGTTGAGTCGATTCTGACTCATGGTGACCCTGTAGGACAAAGTAGAACTACTCCAGAGGGTTTCTAAGGCTGTAAATCTTTATGGAAATGGCTGCCAAATCTTTCCCCCTTGGAGTGGCTGGTGGGTTCAAACTGCTGACAGTTTGGTTGGCAGTTGAGCGCTTTAACCACCAGGGCTCAACTTCCAGAGGAGGATAATAAACTCAGTCTCACAAAGGACTTCAAACCGGTTCATTGTAGTTCAACAGAATCACCTGAGGATCTTGTTAAAATGTAGATTCTGATTCAGTACATCTTGGGTGGAAATGAAAATTCTGAGCAAGGGGTCGAACCAAAACAAAACAGTTTGAAGCCCTGGTCTCATAGAGCAATTCTGAGGATGAAGTGAGGCCATGCATGGGAAAGCACTGAGCGTGGCACCAGGTGCACTGTTGGTGCTCAGCTCATGGTTGTTCTCCTGATGGGAAGGTGACTGATGCCCCTAGAAGAGTAAGCAGGATCCCAAACCACATGGCAGGTACAAAGGCAAGGCCCACAGGGTACCACCTGGTGTAGCCCCATCCCCAGCTCCCCCCTCCCCCCTCCCCCTCTCAGTTCTGTAGCAGTGTCCCTTGCTTGGCAGATTTAATTTTCTGGAAACATAACTCATCCTTGTGAAGCTTTCTGGTTTCATCCAACTCCTGTAGCACAGATAAAACTCTGAAGGTCAGGCCCTTTGTACCTCCTAAGGAAGCCTGTGAATCAAGGCCAGCTGTCTTCTCCCATCACCCAAAGGTGACCAGAAGGGCCAGGAAGACAGGACCCCCTAGACATGGCTGTAGTACTCACGACAGGCAGGTGACCAGTTAACCAACCTGTAGTCATTTGGGTTGTAGCTGAGGCTACACAACCAGAACAGCTTCCCTGGCAAGGAAGGGAGTGGGCAAGGGGCCATCGAGGCTCTGCCATATCTAGGGTGACCAGCTGTCTCATTTTGCCCAGGACTGAGGAGTTCCCTGGGATACGGGACCTTCAGCACTAAAACCAGGGTAGGCCTAGGCAAAGTAGAATAGTTTGTCACTCTAACTGTACTTTCTGGGCCATTCAAGAGCCTTCTGCATCCTGTCTCTTTGGATGAGAGATCGCTGCCTTCCTACAACCACCAGGTTTCTCTTCCATCTCCCAGGAGCCAACCCGGAGGGCTCCTCTACTCCCTTGGGCCCATAAAAGAAGAAAAAGCTGGAGAAAGTCAAGACAGTGGCTGGACTCCCACGCCTGCTTAATGAGGAGGCTGAGGTTTGGGGCCTGATGACAGGCCCCTTTGAAGAACTGACGGAGACTTGGTCTTCCGGGCGACATCAGGTGGTGGAGATGAGTCTCGACGTAGCCGCAAATCCACCAGGGCTCCTTTTTTATGAGGTCGGGAAATGTTCACGGGAAGCTAAAGAACAGGTTAATGAAGGGTTCTGATAGAAAGTGGTATTAACTTTAATGAGGAGAAAACACTTTGTAAAGGCCAACACCCACTGGGGCAGAGATATAAACCTGGGGTGGGGAGCTGCTTCTCCGCATTGGGGGGTTCCTGGTCCCAGATTTATCACTTGTGACTGGGCTGCTGTGAGGCCATGGCTTCCAAATATCTCAAGGCCAGCTTCTCCTCGGGGTCTCTCAAGGGCCCGGGAGGGGCCAGTGGGCTCTCCACTCGTGTGTCCACAATGTACTCCAGCAGTTCCTGCAAGCTCCCGAGCTTCTCTCGGGGGGCCCGGAGTTTCTCCGCGTGTTCGGCTGGGCTGGGCAGAAGCAGCTGCAGGACCACTAGCTGCCTCCCTGCTCTCGGCCTCCCTGCTGGAGGCTATGCCACCAGCTACAGCGTGGGTGGGGGCTGGTTTGGGGAGGGCATCCTCAACTGCAGTGAGAAGGAGACCATGCAGTTCCTGAATGACCGCCTGGCCAACTACCTGGAGAAGGTGCGCCAGCTGGAGCAGGAGAATGCCAGCCTGGAGGGCCGCATCCGGGAGTGGTGTGAGCAGCAGGTGCCCTATATGTGCCCGGACTACCAGTCCTACTTCCGGACCATTGAGGAGCTCCAGAAGAAGGTAAGGGGTCCAGGGTGGCTTTGGCTGTCCGGGAGACTGGTGATCATTTGTGATGGTAGCCCTGCCCCCGTGGAGCACTTTGGAGGTCACAGAGTACGTTCACACGTGTGGCCTTATTTGTTTCTCCCAATAATCTTGTGAAGGAGGTATCATTGGCCTATTTTACAGATGAGAACACTGAGGCTCATGCTGGTTAAGTGACTTACTCAAGGCAACTTATCTGGCAGTTGGTGGAACACAGGGTCTACATACTAACAGGTTGTGTGACCTTTGGTACCACAGCCCACCATTCTGAGCCTTAATTTTCCCAGCTTTTTTTTAAGGTGAAGGGATTGGATTTGATGTGTTTGGGACAGATCAAGTATCATAACTAACTCAGGCCAGAAAGGAAAAGCCTGTCAGAGACATTTCCTTCTTGCCCAGCCCATGGCCCCTGAAAGTCACAGCTGACTCCTGAGAGGGATCATTTATGATCAGAGAAACACCGAGCACTCTGATGGTAGTGACTTGCCCTGAGCCTCCCATTAGGCCAGAGACAGGAAGAAGTCCTGTCCCACTGTGTCGAGCCTTTCCTGCAGCATTTCTATGCCTCCCTTCTCTGACCCCAGGTCACAGATTGGAAGAGACCTTGGAAGTTTTCTAGTCTGATCCCTTTCTCATTCAACCTTAGAATACCCATGGGGCCTCAGCTGCCAAAAGTCCATGAATGGATGGCTCCCTTCCTCCAGAGGCAGCCTGTGCCAGCTCTGGGCAGCTCTGACCAGCAGAACATGCTTTCTTTCACCAAACTCACTTCTTTATTTCCCCAGACCCTGAGCACCAAGGCTGAGAACACCAGGCTGGTGGTGCAGATTGACAATGCCAAGTTGGCTGCAGATGACTTCAGGACCAAGTGAGTTGTCTGAGGGGAAGAGACTGATGCCCTCCCTACTGTTCACCCCTCAGTTGAGGACTGATAGAACTGGATATTGGTGATGCCCAGACTCAGGGCTTTGGCTGCACCAAGTCACTAATGCAGAACTCACAGCACCAGGCTAGTCTAGGGTAGGAGCTGACTTAGATACAAAAAAGAAATGTGGTGTCAGGTACCCTGTTCTGTGACTGCAGGTATGAGACAGAGCTGTCCATGCGGCAGCTGGTAGAGGCCGACATCAACGGCCTGCGCAGGATCCTGGATGACCTGACCCTGTGCAAAGCTGACCTAGAGGCCCAGGTGGAGTCTCTGAAGGAGGAGCTGCTGTGTCTGAAGAAGAACCACGAGGAGGTAAGCATGGGGATGGAGGTAAGCATGGGGAAGCAGGTGAGCATGAAGGAGCAGGGGAGTTTGGGGGAGGGGGTGAGCAAGGCAGACACCTAGGAAGTCGGCACTGACCCTGGTCTGTGCCATAGGAAGTGAACTCACTGCGCTGCCAGCTTGGTGACCAGCTCAACATTGAGGTGGATGCTGCCCCGCCTGTTGATCTGAACCGTGTCCTGGATGAGATGAGGTGCCAATACGAGGCCCTGGTGGAGAATAACCGCCAGGATGCTGAAGACTGGTTCAACACCCAGGTGGGTACCTGGAACCAGTCAGAGTGGCAGGGGCCCATGACAAGAAACACAGAAGTAATCCTGGGGCATGAATCAAGGAACCCGAGTCTGAGTTCCAGCTCTGCTTCGATCTCACTGTACAACCTTGGGCAGGTTGCTGTCCTCTAAGCGTCAATGTCCCCAAGTGTGAAATGAATGGGCTGGACTGGGTGATCTGAAAGGTCCTTTCTGGCTTGTGATTCTGAGTGGCCTCTGCAGACCTCTGAAACTGAGTCCCCAGGGTTCCTGATCAGGTCTTGTGTGTGTTTCAGACAGAGGAGCTGAACCAACAGGTGGTATCTAGCTCCGAGCAGCTGCAGTCCTGCCAGGCAGAGATCATCGAGCTGAGACGCACGGTCAACACCCTAGAGATCGAGCTGCAGGCCCAGCACAGTTTGGTGAGCCCTGAGGCCCCAGTGGGGCTGCTGCTGGACCAAGCCTAGCAGCACACGAGCCCCCAGCATCCATGGTCTGGCCACACGGGCAGCCTCCAGGGTTCACTTTCTTGAACACCAGGGCTTCCCTCCGCAGAGAAGAGGGAATGAGGGCGCAGTCCCAAGGCACAGTTGCCCCAGTGATAAAGACAGGAGACCTACAGTGCCCGGCATGACCTGGCAGTAGCTCTGGTATTTGTGTAAGCAGATACACCTTTTTCAAGTAATTATCAGTTACTCAGAGATGTCAGTAATGGGGGAGAGACTCTCTGGGAGGCTACGGGGGGCTAATTGGCTCATCTCAAATGAGATGTCTGACTGGGGACTTAGGGTGGCTCACCCTAGTTCAAAGTGATTGTCTGAGCTTCCGCTCTTGGATTCTGACGCTCACTGAGACTCAGATGGATTAAATGCATCATGCTCATTCCTTCTCTGACCTCTAACCTTACTCCTCACTACACAACCTCACCCTTCACAGAGAGATGCTTTGGAATCCACCCTGGCTGAGACAGAGGCCCGCTACAGCTCCCAGCTGGCCCAGATGCAGTGCCTGATCAGCAATGTGGAGGCCCAGCTGGCTGAGATCCGGGCCAACCTGGAGCGGCAGAACCAGGAGTACCAGGTGCTGCTGGACGTCCGGGCCCGGCTGGAGTGTGAGATCAACACTTACCGGGGCCTGCTGGAGAGCGAGGACAGCAAGTGAGTATCTCTGTGCATTCTCTTGTCTTCTGAGTGCAGTCCACAAAATTCTGGGGAGACAGCCTGGGAAGAATCCGGCATTAGGGGTCCATTGTTCTGGGTGCTAGTTTTGGTCTTATTACAAATTTATCATGTGACTCCAGCAAGCCCCTTCCCCTCTCTGGGCCTGTTTTTGTCATGTGACCCCAGCAAGCTCCTTCTTCTGTCTGGGCCTGTTTTCCCACGGGTAAAATGAGGGGGCAGGACTGGGTGGTCTTCAAGGTGTCTTCCAGTTTGCACCTGGGATACCATAGTAATCTAAGTGTTTTCTTTCTCCTAGGCTCCCCTATAACCCGTGTGCTGCTGACTTCTCACCTTCCAAGTCGTGCCTCCCCTGTCTGCCGGCAGCATCCTCCAGTCCTGGAACTGCCCGAATGAGCTGCAGCCCCCGCACCATTTGTGTGCCCTACCCAGGGGGCCGGTTGTGAGAGTGACTGACCCAGAAGGCCAAGGCCATTGTCTCCAGGGCTTGGGCCTGGTGTCTGCTCAACCCTGACCCTTAAAGCCCAATTCCCTTTCTCTTTGGGCAGAGCCCAAGGCCTGGTCCTGAGACGGCTCACAGCAAATACACATCTTAAAGTTTCTCAAAGCCAGTCACTAAGCCTGGCAGCCCCTGAAGGCCTCAACTCCTTATCATTTCAGTGGGTGCATCCTGGGTCAGGTTTTCCTTCTAGGTGTTGTTCCAGCGGGTTCTGAAATTCAATAGAGGGCTTCTGTTGATGTAACAATAAACCACGTTTGCTCTGGCTCTTGGTGCCTCATTTACACCATTCTAGCATTGTTGGTTTGTGTCTCTACTGTGTTCAGAGGGATGACTCTTGGGCAGATGAATGGAAGATGTTTGACAAAGTGGGACCTGGGGGATGATAGGGTCACTGTGCCCCTCTTTGGGGGATGGGGTAGTTAAAGGCCTACAGTGAGGTTTTCCCAATAACTGTACTTTTTGCTTGACTTTCCCGATGAAGATCTTTCTTCAAGTTTCCAATGTGGTGACAGGTGTTATCAGACCTCTCCTCCCCTTGGATCCCAGACCAAGATGGATAAAACTGAAAGTAATATAATTTGAAGCATTTTAGGACACGTTAGCCTCATGACTTTATAAAAGCAGCAATATGGTATCCCATGCCCAGGGTACTTTTAAACAAACCCTCTTCCAGTGTGGCCTTTTCTCGCAGCCCTTCCAGTTCAGCACCCCACTTAACAGTCCATATCCCGTCACAAACAGGAGACGGGAGAGTAGCCCGCCACTGTGACTTCTACCATAATAAGAGATGCAGAGGCTCATGCCTGTTCTTGTGTGCTCTTGGCATCTGATGAGATACACAGTGCCTTTGGGTTCCAAAACATTTCCACATGAATGTTGGACCCCCCCAGCATCTTGTCCTAAAGGTTCTCATTTGGGTCCAGAATGTCCTCCCATGATAGACCAGGCAAATACCAAGTTCCGTCAATCCCATATGCAAAACGGAGAAGAGTGAAGGTAAAACTTTCTAAGATAGAAAGGAAGGCAGGTTATCTCCAAATGGCTAGGTGCTCTTCATAAGATGCCCAGAGCAATTGCTAAGGAATGTCAATGATGTCGAGAGAGCAGCAACAGCATTGAAGCTGAAGAGATTGGTGAGAGATACCAACCAAGGTAGGCTTGAGACCCTCCACTCTTCAGGTAGGTGCCCCATATAGCTCACCCTGATCCAATTTTAGAACGCTCCTCTTTCCAATGCCCTATAAAGGA